ATTTATTTCATATCATAGCAAAATGGTGTAAGTTAATGCAATTAAAATAAATTGATGGCAATTAAACAGACTGAAATTTAAAGCACAATATTAAAAAATCGTTTCAAAATACCTGTATTATGAGAATAGACATGAAAAACAGCAGAAAAACTAATCCAATTGGTTCAAGCTGTAGTCTTGTGACTACCCAAATCGGTTCTCGTGATTCCGTGTTACACGGGATGATCGTATGATTATACCGAGGTCCAAGAGGCCATTCAATATGAATACAATCTTTCTGTAGCTGTAGAAGCAGTACAATGATAATGAATACAGTATTTACCATGAAGAAACCAGAACATATCTGAAAAGCAGTAGACAACTTGTCACAAAAAAAAAAATTTAAGACTTTTAAATCAACTTTTTTCCGCTGTGTATCTACTTATGAATCGTCAATTAAGAATTGGAGACTTGTATAAATGAAATATTTTATGATTTTCCAAACAGGAAAATTTTTTTTTGACAATTTTTCTCCTCTTTTATGTAACATTTCGCAACTCATATGCATACTGCAGTGATCATAATTAAAACTCTCAGGGAAGTTCCTTTTTTAATTTTTATTTACTGAGCTTTTTTCATATCACAAAGCTAAATTTTAACTTCTTAATTATACTTTAGTGGTAAAGACAATAATTTCATATTCTATGTGAAAGGTTCTGTTAAACTTTTTGTCACAAAGTTTAGTAAATTGTAAAAAACACTCGAGAATATTAATTTTAGATGCTATTTAGTGATCTTCTAGGTGCAAAAATTTGTTTCGTTGATTTTTGAATTTTAGATTTACTTTGTTTCTTAGTTGTATGAGATCAGCTTTGATTCTTTCTTGTTCTACTTGATCATGGATGATTGGTGTAAGATATTTGTTTATCAGATCATTCCAGAACACTTCCTCGTCAGTATCGAGCGAATCTTTCTCAGCACGTCGGATTGATCGATCATTCAGCCAAACTTCGCTTATTTTTGATTCCCATTTACGATTTCGCATCGCTGCAGCTGATTGGTCGGTGATATCACGATTATCTTCAATCTCTTCCTGATAATTTTTTGACTTCAAAAACTTATTTCAGTAGATCTGTTTCTGAGCCCGCATATTTGCCAAAAAAAAATGATCCGCCAAAAAATGTTAAATGTTTTTGTGCGAGTAAAACTCATATAAAGGTGCAATTAAGAATAATCGTACATATTATTTTATTGTGCAAGATGAGTGCATCAAAAAGTTTATGTGGTCCATGTTCAGCTACTACTAAGGCTAATCCTTGCTTTGAAACCAAGTATTGAAAACACTGTAAACAGCTTTCGAAAGGAATAAAAGTATTCTCAAAGTGCTTAGGTGTTTCATTACCTGAGCTCAATCATTTCAATATCATCAAAGGTAAAGGTCATTTAAATGATCAGAATGCATGTCCCACAGTGATGCAAATAACATTATAGCTTTTTCAAACATTTCAAAAAGATCAAATTTCAAGCTCGAAAAGAACAATTTGGTGCGTTAAAGCTATTTTACCACTACTTCACTCACTTTTACCGCGCAATCCTCTTGCAGTATTGCAATCTAAAAAGTAATAATCGCACCTGATCTTCCATATTTGCATCAGGATCCCATTTAGCGCTACCTGGATGGATAGAAGTTGATGGATATGTTGTTGCAAGAGTCATAGAATTTGCACCAGATTTTCGTTCAATTCTATTCAACTTATTCATCATTTCGTTCATTTTTTCACTAATTTGCCATATCTATATGCTGTGATGTAATTATTTGAAAATTGTCCTCAAAAGTTAATTTTCTCAACTTTTGATCAATTTACATAATTTTAAAATCTGTACATTTGTCTTTTGACATTACTGCTGGCTACAAAAAGAACGGTTGGGAGTTCCCAAATTTTTTCGAAAAATATCATAATTTATTATTTTTGCTTCGATGCATAACAAATACGACCTGTGCTTTTTCCATTGATTTGTCTTTTAAACAGCACATTAAACGGCAAGCCATTCCACAGCCAATTGTTATTTCACCCTCAATCTTAAAAAAATTCTTTTGTAATATCAACGATTTAGTGGATAATTTTAATTAATTTCTTAGTTCTTGCTCGAAAAAGTGTTTACAGAAGTGCACTTTTTACATGCAAATATTGTTTTTGCTAACAGTAGTACTGTCAATAAATGAAAGTCTGGAACGAAAAACATGATGCATTTTATTTTTCGCAAAATTTCAAAATAATTTATTGCAGTGTTTCTAATCTTGATCATATATTTCATATCTTTATTCAAAACTGATTGATTTTTCTATCTGCAATGAATCAGTATTGAACGATAGAATGAAAACTTCAAAAGTATTTATCATAGAAATGAACTAATAATTATCTGGAATAGTATGAATATTAGTCACAATACTATCACTGCTTAGACTTAATTTTATTTATATTGACATTTCATAAATTTGAAAAATTAACCTCGCTAACATTTTCACTGTTGGCTAACAAGTCAACGTGTTTACCAGGTTTCGATTTTGTACAACTCTTTTTTTGAGCTATAATTATTTGAAAGCTTTATTTTTCTTTAACAAAATGTGGTTTGGTTTAATATTAGAGTTCAAAGAAGAAATTCGATTTTTCATTTACTTCTTTCCGTCACATGTTTCATTTCATATTTCGCGAAATGTAAATGTTTTTTAACCTGTTGTATTTTCTCGTGTACCCCAAGCAATATTGTTTAAATTGCACAAGCTATATATGGGCAACAGCATATACATGCACGGAATTGCCAAGAAATATAGAATTCCTGGAGTGATACAAGTAAATTCGAGAGGATGAAGTGTGGCAGCAGTGAAGAAACTGCAATTCGAATCATGCTTTTTTCATAATCTTTTTTCCTCAAATATGAAATAAAAACAATGCATTTATATTAGCTGAATATCAGTAATGTCACTATATTATAAATATTTTAGATTTTACATAATAAATGTAGAATTGAAGAAAAAGGTTATTAAACTAACCTTCCAATAACAAAAAGTAGAAATATTGAATGAGGTGACATTATACCATCTTTCTGCATTTGTATCATTGTACCGACAATGACAGATGTCATGAGCATAGCAAACAATGCACCAATAATTTGTGCTGCCATTAACTAATGAAATGAATGAAAATCAAAAAGAGTCTATTTACAGTTCATTATTAGAAACAATTTATTTTGAAAGTACAACTAATAGAAACTATTTGAAAAAGGTAATGTAAACCTGAGAGCAAAAGGAAATGAATTTTGTACTGTACTAAAGTAAAGCTTACCTGGTTTTCAGGATGGCTGACGAAGCACATAAAACAAAACAATGCAACAGGTAAAGTAACAATAAATAACGCCAAAGAGGTATCAATATTGAAAGATATGGATAGCGCTCCTACAACCATCAAAAAAATCGTTCCTGGCCCCAGAATTGATGAAACCAGCATTATGCACTGATATATTATATACCTATACAAATCCATTAATATAAGCGAAGATTATTGTGTGCTAACAAAATTTAAAAAAGATTATTTGCTGCCTTTAAATATCGGACAAACTACTAATTTCTTATTAGCTCTTACTTTTTACATGATTCAAATTGAATAATATTCTTGCTACTTTTATACATCCATGTAGATGGAGACTCAATAAATGCACTTACAAAGCATAACCTTGTTTTGATTTATTCAAAATTTAAACTACAATCTAAATCTTTGCATAGTTAACTGAATCTAAAAATTAAATCTTCAATTTTTCATCATTCATCTCTGCACATTTGTGTTCAAATGCTACAAGTTTTTTACTTATATAGAAGAATACAAGTACTTCTATGATGATAATTTATTATTATTTTTTTGACACTCCTGATATTTTTCAATAAAAATCTTAAATTAGTAAAATTCGATTTCAGCGGTCCCAACAGCGCATTAAAAAATAGCATTTAATTTGTTTTAAAAATGTTCCAGAACTTTTTTTAGAAAATTTCGGTCTGAAATCAAATATAAATAGTATATATATCTTTTGCATAAATTTTCTTGGATGAACAACGTGGTATTTCATACCAAATGGAAATAGATTCATTGACATTAATCACATTCTTATAATCCTGCAAAAGATCAATTATATTAGCTAGCGTTGAGGGAATCCAACGACGACGTTGATTGAAAAATTCATTGAAGCCTTCTGGTGCATATGTTAATGCATCTGATGCTGCACAGTATTCAACGCTATAACAAATCATAATTTGAAAATTTTCAATCATAGATATTAATATATGCGCAGGTTTAAAAATTTTTTGAATTCACTATTATCACGTAGTTTGTAATATTGACTTATTTTTTTTGTTTTTCTGGTGACTAACTGATTTCCATGCAGAAGTAAGTTTCATTAATTTCTTGTTTCAGCTTTCAAGAATGTCCATTATAACTTCGATAATAATGCAAAGGTTTCACAAATCCATAGGTTCAAAAAAAGTTTGTCATATCTTAAGTAGTTCATATTAGATAAGAAAACAAAAGTGATGAAAGTAAATTGTGCGAGATTAATATGAAGATTTACCGATAACCACGCTGTAGAAGTAAAGTACAGAGCCAGCGATCTTCACCCTGATCGTACTGAATGAAATCAACAGGATTTTGAGCCTGAATGGTAAAAATGACTTCGTAGTTTAAAGTTTCTATGAGGATTTTTTTTTTTTTGCTTATCCATGAAATCTAAGTCTTACAGCAATACTGTGACATAATTTTGTTGTCAAATCAAATGTGAAAATATAAAAAATTTGCTGACTTTTGAAGCATAACGTCTAGTTACATTATCATCCATCAATGCCAGTGAACGAAACAGAGAAAAACAGCCAGGTGAGCAAAGCACACATCCAATCATATGCTCAGTAGCCTTCTGTAACCAATGGCCGATTGCATATTCGAATTTTTGGTACCAAATCATTAACCCTAGAAGTAGACAAGATGAAATGCAACTAATAAATCTATCCTCTATTATATGCTTTGTTGTGAAGGAAAAATAATGTTAAGAAGATCGTGAACTTCTTTTCTCAAATTCTATCAATTTATCACATTCAAAATGTAAAGACTTTCTGTAATTCATTTTTAATTATTTTAAAATATGCACCAGATCCACGTGGATGTATCCGACCACACGCTGCTCCAAGCCGTCGATCTTTTCGCATCAAATCAACAAGAAGATGAACACACTGAGGCGAAAAATCAACATCACCATCCAAGGTGAGGATAAATGTATTCTCAGAGATTAGCTCTTTTCTAACTTCGTCGTCTACTTTCATCATTAGTTGATAGCCCAGCAAATAGTACAGGTACATCACCTAAATTCCAAATTTTCAAAGTGTAAAAAAGCTAATGATAGTGATTTTGTTTGAGAGCATTACACACATGAAATTAAACTTGGGTAAAATGCCAAGTTTGAATAAATTGGAACTGAGCAATGTACTGTAAAAGTACAAAGTATAAACAATTGAAACTGTGCTAATGCACATACATTGAAAATGTTTTAATGCACATGTAACAAATCATGACTAAAATACCTAAAAAATGTTTGATATTTCTAGTTGGTTTCAGAACTTTTCAATAAGAAAAAAAATCTTACAATATGAATGATTCTCTGACTTCAAACTTATTATGGGATTATCAGTAATTTCAAAAATTTGATTTTAATAACTTTTCCGAAATATTTGTTTTTTAGGTGTAAAAATCATTTAAAAAATATGAAAATAAGTTGCCAACCTGACTCCAACGTTTACGAAGACGAATCTTTTGTTTGTCCTTCAAGTGAATCATTAACCGATTCTTACCAGGCATTATAAAGCTCAGTCGTCCACCATATGGAGTTAGCATTTTTTTCGGTGGTCTTAATTTCATTTGAGTTTGATGCAAAGCGCTAAAATCTACATAAACTTTTAAATAAGATTTTATTTGTGTTTTATCTTTTCGATCAATTTTTTTAGAACGAATTTGGGTTTCTCAACAAAGCTAACAAAACAGTTATTTGAAGCATGATAATGCATAATTGCACCGTAAATTTAAGTTTTAATTCTGTATTTGAAAATTGAATTATTATAATGATGAACAAGATTTTGAGTCAAAGTGCAAAAATCAAAATTGACTGGGATCAACCTTGCTGCTTCGTCCACTTTTTCTACCAGTTGCTTTACATACTTATTAATAACAGATTCACCGTACTCATTGATATCAAATGCATCGTCGAAAAATATGTGCGCCTCGAATTCATAATAATCAGGATCGATAATCTTCAAACAGTTGTTCTCATTAAAATTAAATTAAGATGACTTTACATAATCTTAAAAAGCGAGCAAATAAATCTTTTATCTGTTTTGAGATTCATTTGATTACAGTTCAATTTAAAAAAAAAAAGATTCTAGAGAATCGCTTAAATTCCTATTATTTGTGTATTTAGTTATGTTAATAAATGCGAAACTATTAACAGAGTATACATTACGATACCATGTATATTTTCCTCAAACAATTCATATTTAGATGCTTAATTTGTTATCACCTTGAGGTATTTTTGAGCATTTCTTCTTGCACACTGATCTTCGTCAAGTCGCAAAATACTTTTCAACATGCATGTCATCTCTATAGCTGTTTCATGCCACATCGTAGCGCAGACATAAATCTTTGTGACGGCGTCTGCAGATGATGCCATTTCCCTCAAAAGACTCAAATACTAAACTTTAAAAAAATTCTTAATTCTGTTACTTTTATATTCATAGTTGACCCATATTTTGCTAAAAAATTCTGTAAAAATACCAAAAGAAATTTTCCATCCAACACGTTTCAAAATTCCATACAATACATGCGTAACAGTTGTGACAAAACAAAGAATTGCATTCTCTAAACTACTGATGGGTAAACTTTTGCTATACAGTGAATCAATAAACTAAAAAAACAAACTTAATCATAGCCGTTTCAATAATTTTGCCCGTTGAACCACTTGAAAGAGATGGATTTGGTTTTGCATACGTCAACCCGAAGATCACATCACGTTCTGTAACGTCTCCTACATCAAATTCTAAATCCTAAAATATTTTAAACTACTAATGTGAAATACAAAAATGATTTTTGAAAGTACAAATTGTTTCTTATTTTTGTCAGATCATAAAGAACTGTAATCATTTTTGGCGGGGTTAAACTGTACCTCAGTTCGAATTTTGGTTTTATCATCACATCTTCGATTTAAAGCCAAGGACTGATCCGTAAATAAAGCACTGTTGTAAGGTAATATGAACAATCTTCAAAAAGTATTATTTAGTTAAGATTTTAATGGATTAAATAGTTTTTAAAATGGTTTTTGAGTGAAAAAATATTATAGTGATTTTACTTACTGCCTGTACAATTGGAACAACTATGAATAAAATATTGATAATGCAACAATATTTTGATTATTTCACTAGCTTTTATTAGAAGCTTAAAAATAGCTTAAAGAAATACTTGGCTGTTTTGGCTAATCTTTCTTGACGAGGTCTCCAAAGATGCGAAGTAATCCAAATTTGTACAATTAACGTGGTAAGCCAAATTTGCGTCCATGGTGAAAACATATATGCTGCCAAGCTTTCTGGTATATCACATCGCCAGAAAAGTTCCTCAAAAGTATGATTTGACAAATTATTCTTTAAAAAATCTTTTCTACTTTTTTCCTGAAGTAGATGGTTAGAAGAAAAAGCATAGAATTGAAGTAAATAGAGATAATGTGAATTAAAATGAGATTATAAAAAAATGAATGAATGATTTTCACGCAAAAAAATTAAGTTAGAAAATTTATCGCATTAATTGAATGACTGATAAAATCATCTAAAAAACATGATAAAATGCAACTTGCATTAATGCAAACAGTTAAAAAACGATTTAATCAGTATGTTTCATAAATAAAAACTAGAAATCTTCAAAAAATACTCTGGAAAAAAGGAAAGTGGAATGGCAAGCATCTGATTGTCGTTTTGTACATGTTGTTAATAATACAGCAACGGTTGTTGGTACAGCAAGAACGACAGGAAATGCAAAACAAGCACGCTGCATCATTACCTAAATATTCAATCAAGATACAATTAAAAAATGATTTAGGATTAAGTCAAAATTTTTCAAAGCTATTTATTATCAAAACAATGCACAAGTGATTAAGCTTAATCTTTCAGCATAACATGACTTCCACCCTTTTATTCATGCCAAATTTATAAAATTAGCATATAAAAGGCAGTTAATTATATCTCACTATTACATCGTAAAACAAACTCAAAAAATGTGTATTTTTGAAGGAAAAAAATGCAAGACCTCAGTAATTAATTTTGTTCCTTGTTTCTATTCAGGGAATTTTTCAGTCATATCCAAAGAATAATAGAATTTTAAATAAATGGTCATTACACACCTTGCAAGCAAATTTTGAACTGTGGTAAGCAATTATTACAGCAGTTGCCTGAATAAGAACGATCCAGAGTGCATCGAACGGACTTGTATATTGATTCAGCTCTATGTAATCATCAAATATCTGAATGAAAAGCTAATATAGCAGCTAGCTCGACTGATAATAAAGAAACAGTTGTACAAACAGTTTTCGCTCCTCAGACTATTATTAGTCCAATCAAATTGAAACAGTCAAAAAAGCTTTCTAAACAGATCTGGGAGCCATACAAAATAAAACATTTCTGAACCGTTTTTTAGAAACTTTATATTCACTTTGTATGTTCCGGAATTTTTTGGGTATTTTGAGAGAAAGTTCTGCAGTAAATAATTAGTTTGCTCAAGTTACTTCAAAGATTTAATGAAAAAATTTGGAAAGTGTAATCATTTTTCATACATTATACGTATTTGGTGGTATGTCATATTCATCTTCATCATGAGCACGTTTACTTCGGTTACTAGCTAACTCGTTTTCTTGGTTCTTATCATCTACTAATAACTGATGCTGCAAAGAATCTACATCCAGTGATGAATGAATTTTTTCGTATTTATCAATACTCTGCTGGGAACTTTCCAATGTTGAGTAAAATGCTTTTGTGATGAACGGGATATTAGTCGTTGGCCTGAGATAGAACGCTTGTTTTTGTTGTGGTACAGACTGTAACCTCCGCGGAGTAATTTGAGTTCGACCACTATAATCTTTTAGTAAGCGAGGTGGTTTTGTGTAACGTCTTCCCACGAAGTTTATCGTTTGTATTCCATCATAATCTGCCATTGTAGCATTATTGCATAATTTCAAATTGAAGTTTTAACTTTGTGTCCGAATTGGCCTGATTTTTTTAAAAAATTTAGTCAATAAAATTTGATGGATCGAGAAAATAAAGTTGAAAATAGTTTTGAACATCGAATGTGTGTCAACAGCATTGACATGTTAATACTAACTTATTGATTATAAGCCTTTGATGCTCAATTGGTAGATAAAATGCTTCTAGACTCCAATAAAAATAAAAATTTACTTTGCATCGATGCAGTAATAATATTTTGTAAACGTAAGCAAAGATAGTGCTAATACCACTGCTTCAAAATCATGCAGTAGAGGTCACCATCACTTGCATAAGAAATCTCTTTGGAACTTTTTAATTACTCTCAAAATATTTTCTTCTAATTACCGTTGTCATCTAATGAGGGACTAAAACTTGCATTTACCTGCATTAGCCATTTCTCTTTCCATTCGTTGCATGCGATTATAAAACTTATTAATCTGAGTCTGATTCAAGTGTTGAGCAGTTATTGTTAGCAATTTTTCACCAAATGGATCACTTGCAAAAATATCCTTTGGTGTTATACTAAAAATAAATTCCAAAATTTGCTCACTTAACTAGTACATAAAATTATTTGATGTTTTGTGAGAGATTTATCTTGCACAATTTAAACTTACTTATTATTTAGCGCAAACAATACCATTATTAGATAAACAACGCATTTCCAAATTGAAATCCATGCGTAAGTTTTTGATCGCCGTTCATTTAATTTCACCGCAAAACGCGCTAAAGCTCGAATCGGCGGTAAGGCACTTTCTATGTGAGCAAAATTTTGCCACCAACCAAGGGATATTGAAATTAGACAAAATGGCAAAATGTGTGAAAATTTTTGAAATGAAGGATTTACATCCTGAAAATGTTTTTAAAATTTTAAAAATCCTATAAAATTTAGCAATTTTTACCGCAATCAAACATTTTTGAAATATACTTGAAACTGGTATTTAATCAAACTACAATAATTTTCAGCTATTCAAAGTTTTACTCTTTTAGTAAAACTTTTATTCATTATTTCAAAGCGCAATCTTCCACAATTTTTTGTTACACATTACTAAAATCTGTGTAATTATTGATAATTTACCTAAATCATAGTGGACTTTTGACATATAAAATGATGTTGAGTTTAATCATATTTTAATTTCAAAAATTTCAAGTCATATATTTTTTCTTTCTTATAGAGAACAATTTTACTTTTGATGAATATTGATTAAAAAAATGTTAAATTTTCATTTTTATATTTCCAGTTTCTTTCTTACTACATGAAAAAAGATTTGTTGAAATTGCAATAAATAAAAATATGTTTAAACATGAAGTTCGCACAAAACTCATAATAGTGATGAAAAAAAAGTAATAGCATTAACCACTGATTATTAATAAAATTAATTAAATTAAAATAAAGTGAAGAAAATTTTGGCACTTGACTGCATATTTTCATTAAAATTATGAAATTTTTTAATCTGTTTTGATTTAATGTGGCAAATCTAAATTATAAGGGAGAAACATTAATTTTGATGTATTAATTTATTGAAGTAATAATTCCAGCAGTTTTACTGATCTAAATTCTATCTATTGTTTTAATTAATTCACAAAATTTGAACTCTTTAGTTCATCAATTTGTTTAGCTTTGACTAGTTTGCAGAAATAAATAATACTGGGAGTGTCCAAAAAGCGATAACTTGTACAATGATGCAAAATATATCGGCAGCGAATAATAATATTGTTAAGCGAACTGGTCGACGACTGAGCAACAAAAGTAAACTTGGCACAAAACATACAAAATTGGTAAGCATTGCTCCTGACATATATGTAAACTTAGTAAAATATTGGTTTAGAAGCAGTCATAAACTACAAAAACTTCAAAGTGAAAGTTATGAACTTTAATAATAATAATAATAATAATAATAATAATAAATCATTAGTAGCACACAATAGTCACATTGCAAGTTACTAGTATTAGTGATTTTGTATTAGCTGATTTTATCTGTTTAGTTACGTTTCTGAATGTCCTGCTTTTCAAATTGTGCCAAAAAAGCTCTGAACTACTCATTTATACCGAATTCATAAAATGATTGAGATTTCTATGGGATTTGAAAAATCATTTTTTATTATTTCAATTTGGATACATTTTATTCCTTGGCTTCAGTATAATTTATAAATTAGGTGCGAAAAAAATGTATTAGAGACGGTATCAAAATCAACCGCATTTTTTTAAAACTTTTGTTTGTTTCTTATCAAATAATTGTAGCATTCACTAAATTCCGAGCTTAAATAACAATACATGAATGAAATATTTTTATTTATCACCATCGTAATATGATACCTGTAATGGCATCCAAATTTGGCAGTACTTTGAAAACTAAAATACCAATACCGACAGCATTTAATGTTTCCACAGTAAATACCTAAAAATGGTAAAGAACAGTGCGATAATTGATAGTTATTAAAATATTTAATTGTCAGTGACGAGGAGAATGGTCAACCATTTAAACGAATTCGAAAAAATGATAAGAAATTTTTTCATTATCATCTTCTTTAGCTAAATTGAAAATAATTGGACAATTGGAGACTTAAAATTGCCAATAGCAATAATAAATATTTCAGTGATTTTTCTAATTAAAAAAAATTTTTATAAATGATTTATCGTCCTTATTATTAATGATTATATTATTCATAAATTTCTTTTATTAATGTTTTTTACAATATCCAATTTAACCTAGGTGAAAATTGAAAAAAATGACTCAAGAAGACAAGCTGAAAGAATTTTAAGCAGTAGTACATTAGAAAATCATGACATTTTGTAAAAAAATATAAAAATATGAGCCAGTAATTAATAATGAAAAAGTTTATGTTTAATCCTGTTGTTGCAGTAATATCAAATTTGAAATAGATTCCCATTATTTCGTTGAACTATACTGTTCATTTACAAAATATATATATATGTTCATGGTAATGAAATTTTTTTAATAAACTTTGATAATGATTGAAAAAATAACTGGCAATATTCAAATTTAGAATTGCAGCATAAAAAGGAACTAACAGTTAAAAATTGAACAAAGTTTGGTTTCTTGGCGTTTCGAAAAAAAGCTCGATGAATACAACCAATAAAACACATCAGTTCCGGAATGCATAAAGAAATATATACAGCCCAAATCCATTTTACTACATGTAATGGTAAAATTTCAACTTGGTTAGTTGGACTTTCTGAAAAATTCTTTGTCACAATGAATTTTTCTGAAATATGCAATTGTCAGAAAAAAATATCTTGTGATTTTTCAGTAGCATGCATTGTAATTTTCTTCGTCGTTGATAATTTTTCGCAATTGATCCTTCATCATGCTATTAATTATTTAGTAAATGACTGTATTTTGATCAAAACTTAGAATAACAACCGCTTGCTTTACAGCAATCACATTTTTGCGAGAGCTTTGTAATCTTATTAACCAGATAATTTTGTAAAACATTATTTGCTTAATAATTTTTAATAACTTTGATAATGATTAATCCAAAATTTAACAAATGGTAATCTCAATTTATGACTACGATCAGTTTAATTGATAAATGAACTATTCGTAACCACTTTGGTCTTTTCTGATCTTATGCATATAATTTATTAATAAATCTAAAAAGTGTATTTGATGTTAATATTTGATTTTGAACTTTTCAAAAATGAATAACTTAAGCATTCAAGAATTATTATTTTACTTTATGATTCAAACTCAAATTTAAAAAAAAAATTATTTACATTAGCAGTTAAAATAATTGCCAAGTCCATTTGGAAGAAAACGAGAATCAGTATGATGTGTGAAGTCTTTTTCAAATGGTGCAATATTGCCAATTTTTACTAAATTCTTTATATGCATTTTTTTCAATATATTCTAAACTTTCAATTTCAATGTGAAATATAAAATTAAAACCGGCTTCATTAACCTTCTGAAGGTAAATAATCGTTCATTTTGTCATATGTTTACTAAAAATTAAGTGCAATATAAAAAATACTAGTAACTAAATAACGGACTTACTACTGAGGACAGTAAGTATGCACGGAATTAGTCACTGATAAAATAGAAGAATGAATGAACTGTAACAAAACCAGTACTAAACTAGAGCAAATAAGACTTGTTCCTATTTGAATAGAGTTGTACTTCATGTATACAAAAAAGATATACATAAATCAAATAAAAAATAACCAAATTATAAAGCAGTTTTCTTATCCAGTATTTTTTTTCAGTTATTGAAAATCTTGCTCAACAAACAGGCTTTTCATACATATGAATCAGCAACTGATTCAAGAAGTGGGTTCAAAGTCATTTATCACAGTATCACTATGACAATCATCAAATAATCTTAATGGCACCACCATTATTGTCATTTATTGAGCAAAACCGTATCATGACAACTAATATCCTAACAGAAGTACTGCAGTTACTGAGTACAAATTAGCAATTAGTAACTTATGCAAAGGGCTGCAAAATCTTGACTTACCGTCACCGAAAAATCGTAATTTGAATAATGCTAGCCTATTTTAACGTGAAAAATATAATAACTCACTTTAATAAATCACTATTATTTATGATCTTGATGATTTCTTTGAAGTATATTTCTCAGATGCATATATTTCTTAGCTATATTTACATTATTTTTAGTACTTTAAAAGATCTTAAAATAATTATTATATCAAAGACCTGAAAAAGTCATTATATATAGTTACAAACGCATGCGCTACATATATTTTTTAATACTTCCTGCTGAGCTATGCTTACTCCCAGCTTGATGATGAATCGCATTGTTAATTAAAAAAGTATTAATGATTAGAAAGAAAAATATACAAAGAAGTTAAGCCTACCAGGAATTTTGTCATTACAAATAGTAATATTCTTTTTAATCGTACCAATCGCTGAAGTCATCAGTAAAAATGTTGCTTTAGCTACAGTAACACTGGTCAGTGTGAGGAAAAAAAGCACAACAAAGCAAAATATTTTCAATACTTGCAAGCTAACATCATACCAAAAGCCTGAAATTGAATTAATTTTCAACAATGAATTGAAAAGTTTAATTGAAATTCAGATGGTAATAATTATAGATTTGAAAAGAAATGAGTAAATTTTTATTTGAATTTATTTTGTGATTTTATTTGAATTTATTTTGTTGCTAAAAGTTGAATTTAAATATAATAACACTTGTAATGAAGTAATTATTCACTAATTAGTGGGGCTTTTTACTCAAAAAACGCAAAATAATATTTTAATTTTAATTTTTTATCAGTGATAACACATTTTTTTCAGAAGTCTCGGAAATTATTTAAATTATTGGGATTTAATTTAATGATATATAAATTTTATGCCCACTCTATAAATGCAGTATAATTTTCCTTGTTTTTTTCAACTCTTGTCAGTGATATTCAATAACAGTATATTCATTTTTACAGACATCTTAAAAACAATTCCTAAATATTTGAAGTTCATAGTTAAACCTCAAAAGAATAAATCTTCAGTTTGAGATGATAATTTTTAAGTTAAGTATGAAAATAAAATTTTTGAATAATTGTTTGATCTTTGAGAGCAATTCGTGAAAAAACAATTTATTGTAGTAACTTCAAATTGCTATGATGGAATATTTGAGAGATTTCCATTACTTGAATGAACATTTTTAATTACATATCTTACTATAAATGATCTTTCTTTTTCATACTCCCAAATGATCAGTAGACAAAATAAAAAGGCTAGAAATGAGATACGTATTTTTCTATTTATTTTTATAATTTGAAGAGATTTCATTTCAGAAACTCTGTAACTTGCTGACTATCGATTAAAAAAATATTGCATAAAATAAATATAATTTACCTCGATTTAAATTATCTGGTGGAGGTGGTAGTAGACGAAATACATCCCATCCTCGTGGAATTGTTGTCCAACTGAAACAAGCTTAGGTTTAAAAGCTACGGTCAAAAGTTAGTGAAAAGAGATCAATATTTTAGTAAAAGAATGAGATGGCTATATTTACCACAAACATCAATTCTCTCATATCTTTTGTTTTTTGTGTTTTTGAAACTTACGAGTACGTTTCAGTTCTAGAATTTTTGCTGTCAACAGCCTGTTTAGCGGACGATGAATGGGAATCACTTGGGGCTATCGGTGGCAAAAGGTTACGGATTCGTTTGCCGAGATTTGTTACGTCTGAATTATCATGAGAACCACGTACTATTGGTGAAACACAATTTGTCCCAGTCATTCCAGTAATCAGATAATTTTCTGGTTTACCCATCAAGCCTAATAATCTGATTTCTGCTCATATTTTAAGTTCAAAATATCACTTGTTATTGTAATTTCATATTTAAAATATTACATTTTTGTAAAAAAAAATTTTTTTGAGCTAGTTTTAATGAAATAATAAATTTAAAAATTTTGTTACTCCTACAAAAATTTTTATCAATAAAAAAAAGTACTAATGCGATTTAAATCTTTTCTTGTTATTGTACAGAACTTGAAAAGTCCAGACACATATTTTAATATGATGCAGTTATACCATGATAATATTTGTGACAATCACATGACTTCAAATCATTACTTATTGTTTTGCAGCTAATTAACATTCTTAAATTATTGAAGCTAATAACTGAAGAAATAATATGTTATATGAACAACAACAATATGATAATAAATATTAAATAAGAAATCAAATCAAAAATACGAAATAGTATGTAGCAAGTAGTAAGCTTTAATCGTTTGATGGCAGAACAAATAATGTATGCGCAGCAAAATTTCTTGTCATTTCAAATATGCTTCCATAAGAAACATTGCGTCTTATTAAGAAGGAGGTGATCACATTAGCTTTTCTCAAGTTTAGTTTAGCAAACTAATAGTTTGGAAACACCTTAAAAAATCTTTCTTTTCTCATTTTCTTCAAGCACAAGAAGGGTAAGAAATGCGCATACTTATCAAATGATAAATAAGTCTTGCAGAGTTTTACGTGATTCATCTCTAGTGGAAATCCTCCTCCCTTGCCCACCCTTTCCTTTTCATTTGTGGAGAGGTGAATCCGGATTTGATAAGTGAAGCAGAAGGAAAAAAAAAGTACGTTTTAAGTAAGTTATTCAAATTGCTTTTTGTGTAAACGAAGCGCAGTATAATATTATTCATTTGATAAACGTAAATTACTTTCAAAAGTCAAAGACTGAACTGAAATTTGAAGTGAAGTGATGATGAAATTGTGAATGATGCTTATATAATTACTATAGGCATTTGTAAAGCTACATTGAATTTTATTAAATTTTAACTAAGCTAAAAAAACTTAGACATCACTTAGCAAGTTAGCGTGTTATTTCATTCTGAACATTATCGCCGCTTAAAAGAGTTAATGAAAAAAAGATTGTGCATAAGTTAAACGAATACTAAATAACTTGTAGTGATAACTTAACCTTAATCGACCCACACTTCAATACCTGAAGAAGTTTTGCCAATCAGAACTAGTTTCGGATTAGTCAGAACAAGTTGTAGAACAGCAAAGTAAAAACACAAAAGACTTGGTGCAAGGAAAACTGATGTTGGAGCACGATTTCAGAAGTTTCACTTACTCTCTAAAGAATTTTCAAAAAAGACGACTTGTTCTGAAATATCTAAAGTTATTTCAAACATCAAATTTATTAGCAATTTAAAAAATTTTTGGTGCTCAGATTTTATTAATTTGAGTCGAAATTTATACTAAAATACTACACAAATAGCAATCACAGTTATGAAGCAAAATCGTTCTGCTCAATAACAGCTTTAACTGCAAACTAATAAGTATTATTTTTTGCTTCATGTTTGCGTTTGACTGGATGTAAATACAAAATAATACATAGTAACATAATTTATAGAAAAAATCCACTATGCGTGAATTCAACTTAAAAATGTGAATGAAAAAAATAGCATGAATCACCAATCGCGCCATTATCTGATTACTCTGATTTAAGAAAATTGAAATTTGGACATTTGAACATAATACCCGTATGATATCAAGCAAATTTTATTTTCAATTTTAAGGCATTGCAATATTTTGTAATATATATATACGTTTTCTAACTACATAATGTTCTTGTCATAATAAGGTCCTACGATGCTTCCACTTGGGACTTTGCAAGAAGTATGGTCTGAAAGCATTCTCGCGCTTGCGAAGACATTCTGTTCACGAGGTCATCACGAATGAGCACGTTGAGATCAGAATAAAAGCGGATCGACCAGATCATAATACAATGATATCATGATCCCAAGTCAATAGGAAGCGACGTGAAGTAATCTTGACTAAGGTTGGCATCACTGGTTAGGACAGGTTGACAGCAGTCGAGACCAAGAAGAAGCGAAAGTACGATTTACTAGCTAATAAACTGGGGACAGAGATAAAATGCAGGACCAAAATAATTCCGTATGTGATGACTTGGGATTGTATGCGAAGGAGATTAGTATATCAGACTATGTCGAGGCATACAATCGATAGTTGTCAAGAAGACGTTTGAAAATCATTTCCTTCGACAGTTGATATGACAAAGCGAGAACGATGAGTACAACAAATCTGAGCGCGTGACAAGTACTGC